AGTTAACATTGTTTTTGATGTGAGTAGGAAATACCTTGTGTTGCCTGCATTTCAACAAAAAGGTTCTCTGACACTTTGAGTGAGTAGAAGAAATATAATGAAATATTTTTTTTTCATTGTATAAATTCACTTTTTTCCACATCCTACATGAATTTGTTAAATTTAAACAATGCTTGTAAATCCCAGGCTCTGAAAAAGATCTCAATAAAGATCGAAACATTGGCACGATAAAGAAAATGTTTTTCTGATACCTACGTCACACCAGACCGCATCTCACGATTTCCGAATAATCATAGACTAACGGTCACTAATCACCACACATTTCGCTGACCTTTGCACAATAATGATAGGGATATCCTGCTATCAGTCCGTATCATTGCAGTCTTTGTCAATTTCTTAGCGTTTGCAATTTTCTTCGACTGTAAAATTATTAGAATGGGACGTGTGTGTCAAAATCCACAGAGCAAGTGAAAATAAAAAGGAATGAGAGGAAGGAATAGGGAGAGGAAGGGAGAGAGGAAGAGAGAGATAGCGAAAGTAGGACATAAAAAGGAAGAGAGTGAGAGAAACACCCACAAGAACAAACATAAAAAAATAACTGAACTATGTATATTTTATTTATTCATGTAGTACCATATAGTTTTCGCACCATTATTTAATGATCAATCTTAAACAGAGATTTTATTTTTTTTAAACAGAGGTTAGGTGTTAGGTTGAACCCACTTCACGAAGAAATTAATGTATTATATACACCCGTCTTTCAATTTACGCGAATTCCTGTTCCACGAGGATTTGATTTACGCGAATAAAAATAAATATATAGTAAATGTAAATTGAATCTGTTAGAATAAAAGGACAATGTCGTTTTTTCAGCGTCAAAAGCCACACTGTTCGCTCCAAAGACAAGCCTTTAGCGGGCCTAACAACTAAGTTTTTTCGTTTTTCTGCACAACGCGTTACGATCTCACAATACTGACGGTATGAAACTGCCAGTTTTAAAACTTATAAGAAAAATATATATACATACATATCTGACTAAGACCGCGTAAATTAATTCCGCGTATAAAATGTTCCGCGTAAATTGAGGTAAATTCGCCTCGCAAAAATACGCGCAAATATACTCGCGTGTAAAAATTGTTACGTAAATTGAGGGACGAGTGTAATATATTCAGCGTTTATTTAATTTTCCTTTTTGTTTTATAAGTTTCTGTTTGAGATTTCCACAAATATTATACATGTATAATTAGTACCCATTAAAACTACGAATCGTGATATATATTTTAAGCCATTTATGTTTTAGTGGTCAATTAACGAAGATACTTCTTTTAATTCATTATTCTTTTTATGTAAGATGATGTTGAGATAAAAAAGTCAGTGACAAGAGCGGGATATTTTAAGTTTATATTTCCTTTTAAACAACATCATATCATCTTTCATTTCTAAGATTACTGTTATAAACTTTCTGTTTAATGTTTATTTACATTAGTACTTTTTTAAAATGTACTTAATGGATGTCTTTTGCAATATATTTTTTATTAGATAAGCTCGTTAATCTAAATCTAAATATTTAATGTGCCGTAGTAAAACAGTATTTTCCAATTTACTTTATAAATGTGCTGGGGTGATGCGTCTCGACATTTAGACCAGTTGCTTTCTAGTTTGACAAATCACTTTTAATTTGTTTCCCAGGTCTCAGTTCTAGTTCTTCCTGCTGTTGTATTAAAGTAATATATTTGATATAAAAATCTATTTTTATGACAAGATCAGTGTTTTTATTGAATTTGTATTATCGTAGATGAATGCATGTGTTGTTTGCATAATTACTTTTCCTATATAATAAAGCCAAGACAATAATACAAAGTGACATCCGACAAAAGATTCATCTTTCTCAGTTTACTCGTTGGGCCCTTTCTTCAACAGGTTGGTTCTTATCTTGGGCAAAGAAATCGTCGTAGAATCTCTTTCATGCCTAGTCCCTTCGCCGAGAGAGCCCGGGGGCAAATTATGTATAACAAATTTTATTATAACGTCAGAAATCAAAGGATTATTTTATTTAATAATATATCTTTAAAAAGACTTTTCGTAATATTTTAACCAACTAGTTGGGAAATAATAATTAAATTCCAAGCCTGGTTCCATTGGTACGTTGTCGGAGTGTCCAGTTTGGACAGAGTTTCTTCAGTTTTTCTAGCTGACGGATTTGTTTATCTTTAGAAAACACTGCTTCCAGATAGACAAACAGACGTTGTTTTCCATCAGAAAAGTAATTTAAAGAAAACAAGTACTAGTTAGAACTAAAAATAAAACTCGATTCATGTTCGCTATAGAATATTTTCTCCTTGGTATTTTAACTTTAATTTATGAACAGGAAATATTAAACTATAATAATCAAACCTTATGTAAATAATATTTGACAACTACATAATGACCTTCCCGGACATGTTATTCTTTCGTCGGAACTCCTTTAGTTAGGCCTTATAAAATTTCAAACCTATCAAAACCCCTTTCTTTTTGTTATGGCCTGAATGTATCCGACGCCCGCTGTTTATTTTTCAAAAGAAAGCTTTCTCACTCGCCTTTTTTCTTATCTCTTCAATGTTAACATAAAAAGCCTTTGTACTATGTAAATATTTGATAAAATTTTATACAAATGTTATTTCCATTGACTTTATATACGCCACCCTATTGCGGAAGGTGTGTTTTTATTTTTTGCATAGTATAATGCGAATTATAATTCATAGAATTTAGAATATAAAAAAGTTATAATTTTTTCATATTTTTTTGCAAATAAATCCAATTTTAATGTAAATTTTTTAAATATTAACACTTTCAATATTTCCTACGTACTCAATATTGTTTCTGTATATGATAATAATTGTAAACTTTAAACTATAGTATATTTCTAGCTTTTGTAAAAAAAAAAAACTTACTACGCCGCACAAATATGCTCATAGAAACCCTATATTTAGAATTGACCTTAGTCACATCCGTTCTGCCACCAAAGTTAGGCTTCAAAGGCAAGATATTTCACTCTTCAATAAACGCAGTTTTACCTGTTACCTACCTCACACTCTCATCCTTTCTTAAATATACACTATTTTATCATTTGTCCTCGCGAAGATCCAACTCGTAACACTATACACTATTTTATGTACAGATTATTCACTCAAGTAGGGTGGGAGAGTACTCGACATTTATCCCTTTACACAATTAACACATCTAGATCTAAAATTGATGGTCGATGGTGAAATTAATATTCCACTATCATCCCTCTCACACTACACATTCATACTAATAAATGCATTCAGTCTCAACATAGAAATATTAGGCTTATTTATTTATGTGGTGGTTCAGAAGGAAGTAGTCGGTATAAAGTCCTATAATTTTCCACAATGCCTGCTAAGTTTATTTATTTTTTGTTAGCTAATGAACCTTAACCATGAAAAACAAGCCTGCTGAGTTAGAGGTATTTCTTTGCCTTCCTTTTTGAGAGATTTATATATATATCATAGATGCTTCATACTTGGTGCTTTTGTTCAGACATAGAATTTTTTCTCGAGTCATTATGTCATTTTTGCAATTCCAACTTTAGCACACTCTCCAGTTGTGGTTTGATTTCCATGAATGAGAAAGCTGCATCTTCTTTGACTGCTTCACGTCCCCGAACCCATCTCAAGATAACTTTATTGTATTTTCCCTTTTAAGCAATTTAGACGAATATTTATTGTCGTTATAGCTGCCTGACTGTCTGAAAATACGTTTGCACATAATCGAATTGTATAAATTCCTGTTGGGAAGATTGTAGGAACCGGTCAATGAGGTTTATATTTAAAAAATATTTAATCGAAAAGTAGTTTAATAAAATACATAAAACCTGGCACGATTTTTATGGTTTATTGTTCTATAATAAAATTGCATATAACAATTTGATTACAGCAAAAATCATAAACATTCAAAAACATGGCTCATTCTATCCATTTTTTTTCCTATGTCTTCACGTCCCCGAACCCATCTCAAGATAACTTTATTGTATTTTCCCTTTTAAGCAATTTAGACGAATATTTATTGTCGTTATAGCTGCGTGACTGTCTGAAAATACGTTTACACATAATTGAATTGTATAAATTCCAGTTGGAAAGATTGTAGGAACCGGTCAATGATGTTTTGCCGTAAGTCGGTCCTTTTACCCCAATATTAACTCTCTGCTCTATCTTTGATCTACCCTTGTACCAAGCTCCTTCCCGAAACTTGGGGCTTTTCTTCCATAGTTCCGTGTTACCTATGACCACTTAGAAGGGTCTGTCAATGTTGAGTTTTCTTCCTATTTGTTAAGCCTTTTTTTTTAGTTTACTTCTCTCTAAAGTTTTGTTATGGCAACCCATAGATTTGGTTTTATTTCTTCGTTTTCCAGGTATCTGTGGAAACGTTCGATAGCCAAATTAAAAAAATTTCAAGGAATTGCATTCATAACAAAACTAACCATTTAAATTAATGCGTTCATTTGTATATTTATTTATTTTACATTTAAAAAATATTTAATCGAAAATTATTTTAATAAAATACATAAAACATGGCACGTTTTTTTATGTTTTATGGATCTATAATAAAATCGCATATAACAATTTGATTACAGCGAAAATCATAAACATTCATAACCAGCGATTTCCTGGTTCTAAATGGTAATGAAAGTCATGTGAAATCCTAACTGGCAACAAGAAACAAATAAGTAAATTAACAGTACAATAAATGCATTACATTGGTAGTAATTAGTGTTAGGATAGGTATATTCCTGTTTTTATTTAAATAATAACAAGTTGCTTTCCGATAAGCTTAAAAACTTAAAAAATAGAAGATAAAAGTTCAAAACAAAAAAAACGAAATCTGTCAAAACTATCAAAACAGAAAAACAAAATCTGTCAACTATTCAAGTTGGAATTTGTGACTTTTAATTAATTTTAATATAGTGCAATTAGCCATTATAATTTTTTTCTTATTTTCAGAACGATAGGGTCAAACGTACACAGTGGAAAAACCTTTTGAAATCCTCCCCCTCTTGAGGTGAGTTGACTATTTTCTATCCTATTGTGTTCTAATGATATATGGTTGGCTATTGATACCCATGTGCTGCGAGAAAAAGTCTTGTTTTTTTCTCTTATGAGGTTTTGTACGTTTTTCCCGAGATATTTTCTGCACCATCGGCAACTTGAATGTATTGTATTATTAAAAATATCTGTTGCTTCAAAATGCTAATTCAGTATTATAATTGTTTAAAATTCATTTCAATTCTTATTGTTATTTTGTTTAAACCAAATATTATTTAAATTTTAATTTTTTTGAGAATAGTACCCGTCTTGAAGATGTCAATAAATTTGGCGAAACTTCGGTATCGTTAAAAACACGTTTTTTGTTTCGTTTACGTTCCACATCTAGCTGACCTATCATCAACATTTTCAAATTATTTATTTTATTAAAACGCAAACCTGTTATTAAAAATCATGGATAAGACCAATTTGAAAGAAAACACTCAGTTCTTATATTTTGTTGACCCTTCCAGGAATATATTTATTTCACCAGAGCTTGAAAATTATTATAAAAAATTAAACCTTTACAAAAGTTTGAATCGTAATAGTCATCTACTCAACAAAAATAATTAATAAAAGTTGATGAAGAAGAAGTATATGGAAATAGTTAAGAATGTCATAAAATATTTACGTGTTCTTTTTATGCTAAAGACGAAATGCGCTGATACCACGATTTTTTTAATAATTTCAATTCTCTCGGTAGTACTATAAAAAAAAGCATTTCAAGTTTGCGGAGCAAATAATCCATACTTTTTTTGTCGAATTGTGCTGAAGGAATATAATTTTTTCCAAAGGTCCCTCTCGGATTTAAATTAGAATTTAATTGAGTTAGGAAGGAAGAGGTGTCGCCCTCGGGCTTGTAAATCAACGCCGACACAATTGAGACGAGATGAGTGATTTCGGAATAAAGGGAACTTTGTTACCTTCTTGCTAGCCTTGTTTCTGTTTGAAAATGGACTTCCGAGCTCTTCTATCGATTGCGTTTATTGTAATTTCCCCATTGAAAAGGCCCAACAGAAAGATAAAGTATTATAATTTTCAACTAACAAGGACTTGCTAAAAAGATGGCCAAAGAAGATACATCCTGAGCGATTTCTCTTTCAATTCTCTCGGAAAGATTTTTTCCACATTATTCTTCTGGTAGCAGTAGTAGAATATTTATTGACAAATTACATAGGACATAGGTACTAAATAAATTTATAATTTAGGTGAAAGTAGCAGGGCTCTGTACATCGTAAAGCAATCATTCGAAAATTTAAATACTTTAGGTATATATTCTAGAAACCTCGGATTCACTTAGTGGGGAAAAAGTTTACAAAAAACCACTTATCTTCTAAGTTGACTCATATTTGACAATTAAACTAATTTTGCGGGAATTAATAGTAAGTGTTGTCTAATAATAAACAGATGTCTAATAATAAATGTTAACTATAATCCAAAACATCTAAAAATAACAACACCATCAAGTGTGAAACATAAACAACAATAAAATAATAAAAAATAAAAATAAATAAATACATTTAAATAAATATAGGCATAGCTCTAAACAAATAAGACACAAGCGCTTATATCATTAAGAAGTCAGATATTTTTCAAAGGTAGAAGTTAAATGCTTTTCATTATCTTTACATTATATTTTCTTTTATGCTGCTATGTCCACGAAACTGAGGTATATCTCCCTACCGATCTGCAGACTGCATTTTGGCTCATAAAGAGACTTGCAAAAAATTGTTTCGTGCTCACGACTATGACGTCGCGAATCCATTTTATGCCAGTTTCCTTACGGATTTGGGTAAGCCTTGTGTATCTCGGTGGTGAAGTGGCAAGTCTTAGGAATTTGTTTTGTATGATTTGAAGTTTTTTGATATTTGTGACACTGCTCCAGATCTGGCAGGCGTACAGCAACATAGGTCTGACGATGGCCTTAAAAATTAGAGTTTTGTTCCCCATGCTGAGAAGCGATTCTCTAGATAAATGCGGAAACAATGTCTTAATGGCCCCATCGTCCCTTAACGACTAGACCTTGGATGTGCTTAACAAAATTAAGTTTCCTGTCTAGTCTTCGAGTTGATTCCTCGGGTGGCCGTACGGATAAAATACGAATATGTCTATTTTGTCCATTCAAGCAATAAAAAAAAAACATTACAAAATTTGACAGAAGATGAATGGCAAAAATCACCTTAATTGATACGATCCTTCCCCACAGTTCATTTATTCACGCATTTGTCATCATCAGATTGTCGTCGCGTAAAAGATTAAGAATAATAGTACACAACAGATTGTTCAAAACGTTTTATAGAAGGTTTACTCAGACCAACTGGTGTACAGCTATACTTCGGTCACAAAGTTTAACATGACAATTAAGAAAATGTTGATTGATTTTTAAACGCACATGCTTTTCCATTATTTACAAAATGATGATAAATGAAATTGTGCCTGTATGGCATTTACACTCCGTAGAAAAGCTCTCATGGAGGTAATGAGGATACCAGGAAACGGGGTTTGTGCTCCTAAGGTACTGCAGCCTTCTGGCTTATTGTACCTTAAACAATGTCAGTATGGCATTTACACTCCGTAGAAAAGTTCTAATTATCATTTTCAAAAATGTTCTTGTCCCCAAATCTGACTTTGCTCGATTCCTTGAGGTCTACCTAGACTCACGTATAATATAGAGCCACCGCGACTGAAAAGAGCTAAACAGTCTACTCTACCAACTCATGGGACGATAATCGAAACTATTGAACAAAACAAGCACTTAATCTAAAAAATGCCACTAATACCAATTTGGATGTCGGTATAGAACCGTGGAAAACTGCTAAACACCCCAATATCCAACGTCTCCACCTCTTTCATTCTTAAGTATTTAGTTAACTTATTAATGCACTTATGTTTTGTCTCCATACTACACTCCACAACGACCTCAAAACTCGTTTATTCAAAAAAGAAAATCAAAGTTCCCCCATAAACTCGTCCATTACACCAATGTTATGCCCAACCCTTGTTTAACAGATCCCATCCCGGCAATTCTAAGGTTTCTATGGGCTATAAAGCGTTTCAAGTAGAAATGGCCATGTAATCTCCTTGCTCAGAAGAATGATCGATATAAACTGGAGAAATGGAGTGCAATAGGAGAATAACTTTGATTATTTTCTCCCTTTAATGCAAATACTATGTCGATATTTGTAAACATATATATGTATCCTCTAATTGCATGTTGGTCTAGAGTTATTTTAACAAGTATTTATATATTTACTTAACTATTTACAACGCTTTATAGAGGGTGTCTTTTTTAGATGGCCCGGCTGAAATTCTCTTAAAAAAATGTGTTTAACAGTTTTTAGTGTAGTTTCACATTTTACCTTATTTGGAAACATGGATAAAAACGATCAATTAAAGAATAATCATGTATCATAATCGTATTTTTGCATAAAATATTAACACCGTGCAAAGCAAGTGCGTCGGGGGTTGGCTCCCTAGCGAATCGGGAAATTTTGTCCCTGTACTGTGAACGTTTACATGAGTGTGCTATATATATTATAATTATTTGTTAATGCGTTACTTCATGACTGTTCATTGGTTATAATTTGTTATTTGTTATCGTTGTCAATTTTTGCTTGTTTGATTATGTATTGTTTAAATTACGTTGTTGTTTAAATTGATATCATTGCAATGTAGAGGTTCTTTAGTTTTACATTATTTATAATTATTTATAACAATTTCTTAACGCTAGCTTTTTAAAACTTTGTATTTATTTATTTGCCCTTCACTTGGACAATTGCTAAATGCCTCGAGCAAAGCACAAAAAAAAGTTTATAAGAGATTGAGAAATCAACTGATTTTTTCATCTATTCTCAGATCACAAATTCAACATCACGATTAGGAAAGTTTCGATTAATTTGTAAAAACTTTATTGAATGGATTGAATCCCTTTTACCAGTCGATGAAAAACAAGTATAAATAAATTTTAATTGTTTAACATTAATAAATATGTAAACAAAGTTATTTTGATTTCTTGCCGACCAAATTTCTTTCTTAATGTATAATAGTGAAGGGTTAAGGTTAGTCGAAACCATATACAAATAGACAATAAATAAACTGGTTGCATTAGCAATGGAAAGGAATTTTGAGCGGTTTGCCCGAAGCGTTTTTGAAGGGGGTTGTGAAGCCAATAAAAATGATCATAATTTTTTTTTGAATTTTGACAAGTGTGCTTTCTTTACTGGTAAGAAAATTGATGGGCGTTTAAATCAAAATCTTATTTTCTAGAAGGACCACGATTTCATGAAGAACATATATAAATAATTTATAAACCAAATCCCAACTTAATTTTTTTCTTTCCGTCCAAATTCAGTATTAATGGAAAATATAGTACGGGTTGATATTAAACCAAACCATAAAAAAATCTACATTAGATAATCCATCAAGATCAATTATTCACAAATCAGTTATCGTTTTATCATCGTATTAAATATGGGAAAGAAAGATTGATCAGTTTGATCAAAAGTATTGTGCAGAAAATAGAGAAACTAAATCCAACATCTCAATCAAGGGAATATTGATCAATCTCTTTAATTGATTAAACTCTTATCTAATATCCAAGTGATGAAATCCAATAAAAATCTTGAAACATTCATTGATTTTTATCATGTGTTTCATCTGTTACAGATCCTCCAAGACCGTTACAAGTTTAAATCGAAACACTAAAAGCCACAAAATATTAATGAAATACAGACATAAATTAATGTACTGTAAGCAAAGACCCCAATCTAATTAAGAAAACCGTTAATTAAGAAAATTTCACTGTTAATGTACAATTAAGAGTTAAAATGAAAACTTTTCTAATGGGTCTAATCAGTTATAAAGCGGTACCTTCTTTGGTTAGACTGGGCAAACGCCCAACTTTATTATATCTTCTATCAACTCATGTTTTTAAACATTATTTACATAAGAACACTGACGATTATTTAATTATTTCTA